AACAGCAGAAAGCGGTCCAACTCGCCTTACGGCGGACACACTGAGCCTCACAGCTTCCACCGGAACGGTTATCCTGGTGTAGGTAGGGATAATCGAAGAAACGGAAACGCTAATCTCCGTTAAACACGTTCACTGAGATACAAACAACTCATTAATGCAGATAGCAGTTGTCTACATAGCAGTTGTTTACATATCTCGGTCCAACCACACATGCGCTCTAAAGCTGAACCGATAGTCAAATCGCAAACGCCACGAACATACTTTGCTGTGTAGACAGGCCGCAGCAGCCGACGGGCCACAGCAGGCCACCCAACGTAGCCTCACGCTGCCACGCATAATACAGCGTGGGACCCTTTGTTGTTTTTTCTGGAAGTATCTGAGGCCAGCGTCGACCGACGGATTGCTGACTCGATGCTCCTGAGTACATAAAAAGACTCAAATGACGAGTGAATACGGAACAAACACACCAAACACCAGACGCACATGTGAAATTGCACAACTACTACCACATATCATATACACAGTGGACGCACTTGCTGCTCTCCCTGCAGATATCCCTTTTCATATTCAACTGATCCACTACTCGCCTTTGCCACAGGAGACGAAGGCAACTGAAGCCACTGGTGGGTATAGAAGAGCCACCTTCTTCGTGATACACACCTTCTGTGAAACGCCACACCTACTGCCACAGACCATATACCGTGTATGCACCTTTCCGCTTTTCGGGCAAATGTGTTCGTTCGAACGCAACGTGGTCAGAGCCGACCTCTGTGCGTAGATACGAGAAAAACTTAAACAAGAGGCACCTGTAGACGGGACGCACCAGTGGGCGATACGCATCTTGTGTAAAGCCCCACAACGACGGACACTCACTATACACCGTAAACGCAGTTGTTGCTCTTTCTTCCGATTTACGCAGCGGTTGTCATGCTAACCTGTGCTCCAGAATGCGAACTCATCAAACTATGGATGCGCGTAGAGAGACCAGATGTGCAGCAGTACGTATCCACTACTAAACGCCGGATCTGCTGAAACATAATATACACAGTGAAGGCAGTTTTTCCTTGTTAATTTCAACGGTTTTCCCCCCAAGCGCGAACTGATCTCTAGCTATTGGAATTTCCTGATAGGCCACATGGGGTTTCCGCCTGGAATACCTGTAGAATACACCAGATGGAACTTAACACAGCCGCCGAACACATTGAGTTTCTGCTCATCACTGTATCATCGTGTGCATTTAAGTTCGCGAATACTTGCTAATGTAGCTGCGCTAGGCAGGCATCCGACGGCAACAAGTTGCCCGTATGAATTCACACGCCAATCAACTCAACACGTCTACTGCTGTTCGAAATTAGGCTACTCACAGCTCACGCGCAATGCACGTCTGCTGGGCTGCTCGTGAAGCGCCCCCAGTGCACGTCGAACCATACGTTTAACTTAGAATGCCACACGTGCAAGCAAGAACCATATCAAGAAGCGCATCCAGTTAGTGCTTGTCGCTCGTCCATCAACACTTCTTGTGCCATTTCGCAGGCTGGCCCAACACAACCTGAGATATACGAGGTTCACTTCATGCTAAGGCTGAGCTTCGCCGCATTATTTTGTCAGTGGGGGTGCTACCATACGTGGCGAAGCGTTTTTCAGTACTGTTTTCCAATACTGAAAAACGCATCGCCACGTATGGTGGCACCTCCACTAAGATAATAATCCAGGCCATGATGCTTGCCTCCAGCGAAATGCCGCAACTACCGCCACGCAGCATGCAGTTTTCGACAGGCAAGGGCGTTTCAATCGGCCATTGTTTGTCGGAACGTCTGAATGCAACCTTGAGAGATGCAGGATGGTGTCCACATTGCCGCTGGTAGCAGTGCAGATCCAGGCCTTCCACATGAAAACGCTTGTCAGCGGACGGTGCCAAAACTCTTGAAAAGCCAGCTGAACATTTCAGGTCTGAGCAAAAGGCAGATATTGACCAACCGCTGATCACAGCACACGCATTATTTCCCTCTTTATTAAATCAACATCACAGTTGTATTCTCATGTGGGCGATGGAATTTAGGCCTCATGATCAACAGGCAGGCAACAAACATGCCCATCAGCAAGCAGGCTACAAGCGGTATATCCCTTGGCTACAGCAAAATTAGTACCTTCACCTAGACCAGACTGCCTTTCTTAGAGTTTGCGTTGGCTTCTCTAAGCTCTGTACACCCTCCAGAACAGCTTGCGCAGATGCCTACAGAAATACCCTTCTTTCCCAGTAGCTGGTTACATCACTGCCAGAAGTCAGTTCTATGAATGTGGGACCGACGACGCCGATCTTGCAAGCCGTCAAAATGCCTAGATGTTTCGATCCAGTTTCAGGGAGCCATCTCCTTCATAAACCTGGTGCAGAAAAGAAGGCAAATCCAATCAACGTGCGCGTGTTTGCGATAGGTAGCCGGGCCACAAAATATAGAACTTTTCTCATCACCCCCTCAAAGAACAGCCCGCAAGAATGCGCCAGTCCCAGGGAACCTGGTTGATGCGGAGCGATCAACATGGAAAAGACTCAGATTGTGGGCTAGAACAATGCGTCACCCCAGTGCCAGGTGCCTCGCACCTTCCTGGAGGGGATGGTAATGTGCGCAGAATCCGTGCACAAACTCTTCTGAAAGCAGAAGACTCCTTTAGTGTGCGGGTGCTTGCGGACCTGTGCGCGCAGGTATGGGCTTGGGTGCGTG